GCACCGCCAGGCGTCGCGTCGCGGTGAAGCTGGGCAGGGGCGGCCCGATGGAGTCGTCCACCCACCCCAGCTGCGGCGGCACCAGCACGCGGCGGCGGCCGCCCTCACGCATGCCCAGGAGGCCGGCCGAGACTGCTGCTGGAACGGCGCGGGGGTCGCCCAGCCTGCGGGAGGCCGTGCAGGAGGGGTACGAGGGGCCGGGAGCGGGGTGAGGGGTTGGGTGGGGGATTTGTTGCATTTGCAGGAAGCGCGCTATGCAGCATGCAGCAGCTGCAGTTGCCCTGCAGCAGCCGGAGCCCCGCTCGTTGCCTGCCACCCCCGGCCACCGGCAAGCCGCCCCCAAAAGGGGCCGCATTTTGCTTGCAATGGGGCGGCGATGTCATCGTTGCCTCACCTGAAGCGGTACACCTCCCCAACGTCGTCCTGCCCCCCCTGGCCGGTGCCAAAGCTCCAGGCGTACACGGGTGTCGCGCGGGACGAGAGCCGGTACCTGCCGCGGGTGTCGCGCATGGCATGCCGATTTGAACCGGCGCGTTAGACTTTTCAGAAAAATGTGAAGACCCAGCAGGCGTATCGAGTGTGCGGTGTGCCCGATTGGCGCCAAGGTGCGCATGCGTGTGGGTCGAAAGCTGCAGGCCGTCGGCCGTACTCCCAGGTGCCGTGCCAGCCGGTGCGCCCTCGAGCACGCCGAGGCGCAAGCCGCAGCCACGGCCCTGCTGCGTGCTCACACTGTGTAGACGACATCCAGGATGCACCCCGCCTGCGCCTCCCTGCCACTGCCTGACTGGAGCTCTCGGTACTGAATGCCTGAGGGGCGCTCGACACACAATCGAGGTGTATAAACCCAAAGCCACAAACAAATCTTGAGCTTTTCTTTAAGTTTTAATTGATAACAAGGCTAGGTGCCAGTGAACAGCAACCGACACCCAAAACGGTCAGCTGCGTCTGCAGTAGTTGGCTGTTCCAGGGCGGTACATATGAGGCAGCCCCCCCCCCGGGCGGGGCGAATATGAGCGGCCAGTAGGCAGGGCACTGCCTGTTGCAGGGGCCTCCGCGCCCCACGGCAGCCACCTGTGGCCGGTACCGCTCACCGGACGGCAGCGTCACCAGCTCCCCCGGCTGCTCGTACTGCCGGTACCGCATCCGCTCCTCCTGGGGGTCGTCACTGGCCGTACCACCCTCTGCCTCCGCCTTTTCCTGCCTGGCCTTGCGCAGGCACTGGGGCGGGAACGGCGGGCCGCGGTAGTGAGGATCGCGGGGTTGGAAGCGGAGCTGTTCGGCGTTTTCATTCAGGCAGGGCGGCGCTAGTCGCAGCGAGGCAGTGTCCATCCCCACCGGGCCATGCGAGGCGGCCGTGCTACTCTGTATGGACCCTCGAGCGCTATAGGTATGCCTGTGCCGCCACCAACCTGCTGCAGCGCGTAGCCGCGTTCTCCTGGGCATGCGATCGCTCCCGCTTCCGCGGGCTGCACCTGCGCGGCAAGCAGCGGTCCCAGGGGCAGCAGCAGTGCTACATCTCGCCGAGTTGGCTGGGCCTTCACAAGGCACGGCCTTGGCATCTCATTGGCAGAGAAGGCTGTTCTACTGCAATTCGTGGCCCGTTTCGTCGTGTTCATGGGGAAGTGGGGATCAACACTGCTCGAGCAAAGTTGTCGATCTCTTGAATCAAGGTCGCGCAGAAAGAGGCGTGAGGATCGGTCGCATCACGTGTTTTTTGAACCTTCTGCTCGACGAGCTTGACAGGCATGGCATGTTTTGACCCAGGCGGCGTCTGACCCCGGTGACAAGATGCAGGTCGTCACCAGCACACCGCCCAGTCAAACCGGGTGCATGGCCCTGCTCATGCCCACGACCAGCCTGCTCAACTGCAGGTTACACATCTGCCACACCTGCACGAGGACGGGCCCTTGGACGTTTTGCAGGCACACAGGTCCACCTCACAACCACCAGCAGCTCAACCCCCGCCCGCCCCCTTCCCCCAGGCGCGATGATTGTCCCAATGTTGATTGAATCGTGCAGCAGCCGCAAACAAACCCTTGTCGTTGACATCAAGCTGGCTGATGGCGCCTCTTTTCACACAACATGCAGGCAGTACCGCACACCCAAGAAGCCTTGGGTCAAACATTGGACCCATGCACGAGCAACACCGACACAAAACCATCTCCGTTCCCTTCTCACGTGCACACGCAGCGGCGCTTGGAGAACCGTTCCTCCCAGGCCAACGGTGCCTGAACGACACGCCTGAAGCGACATGTGCCAGCGAAGCAGCCGCAGTCAGCCGAGCCACCGTCATTGCAGCAGGTGCCGATCCCCAGCTGGTTCGCGCAGGTTGGATACAGCTGCACAGGTTGTGCACGCGTAACGGGTGGCATGTGATTGGTTGCGTTAACAGGGGTTAGGCAGCAACAATCGAACAGGTGTACGTGGCAGCTCCTGCGCACGTACCATGCGTGCATGCACACATGCATGCATTGGTAAGCACGTGCACGCATGCATGCGTGCATGCGTGCATGCATGCATGCATGCATATTGCGCAGCGTGCGCAACGTACTGCCATCTGAGCTGCAGCTCACGCAGTGGATGACGCTGCCGGCGCCGTTGGACGCCAGCGCCTGGGCAACGGCCTCGACTCCCCCGCCCTGTGATGCTGCGGCGGCCTCCAGCTCTGCGCGACAGCAGCGGCAGGGGCAGGCAGGTGGGCAAGGGACGACAGTAGTGGGCGCGTCGCAGTGTGTTGTGCTATTGACAAAGAGGAGGAGATGGTCAGCAGATTTCAAAGAAGGAGGCTTCTTGGTTGCATGTGATCACCATGACGTCCGCTGCTCAAGCAAGGCACACCAGATTCGTGCAGCTGTGCTGACACTCTGTGCCACAAAGGCAGCAACCACGTCCGCCAACACAGCACACACGAGCGATTGGGCGCACACGCTGCTGCACTTGTGCATGCGCAAGGCCGGCGGCTTACTGGAAAGGATGTTATTAACCGCGGCGCAGCCGCCGCTACTGACAGCGGCGGCCAGGGCTCCAGCAAACACCGGTCACAGACAACAAGAGCGCAACCGCTTTGGTGACCCTGAACGTGCTGCCCAGCTCTGGGCAGGTGGATGTGTCCCACACCGCGGAATGCAGGGCTCAATGCGTTGCCGCGACTCAAGCCAACAGCTTGGGTGGCGCAAGCGCAGTGACGCCACAATGCAGCGGTATGAAACGCGCGTGTGTGTGTGTGTGTGTGTGTGTGTGTGTGTGTGTGTGTGTGTGTGTGTGTGTGTGTGTGTGTGTGCGCGCGCGCGCGCGCGCACGCGCGTGCGCGTGCGTGCATGCGTGCGAGCATGCACTTGCAGAAGCAGTGAGCTGTTGCCAAAGAGGTAAGCTGTACCCGCGGAGTGCAGCACCCCCGCACCTTGGCTTGGTTGCCGCCTGCAATCAGGGCCTTGGCGATGATGTCAGTCGCGGCCGACACCTGCGTTTGGGGCAAAGTGAGATGTACGTGTCAGAAAGCCAGAACGATTGAACATCAATCGTGCTCTCTGAGAGTGCATGAGGAAAGCATGTACAGCGATGTGAGACCGACGCAGCTGGGTGACTGAAAAGGGAGTGCCACCTGCGACGCATTGTTGTTTGCCGCCGTGATCGCGTTTGCCAGTGCATTTGCCACTGGCTGCGGTTGGCGAGTGTAAGCCTCGGCGGTCGCATGCGCCACCGCCTGGGCCGTGCCGCCGCCGCTTGCGAGGGCCGAGGCAATGGCCTGGGCCTGGGCGTTGGCGGAGGCGCCGCCGGCGGCGGCGCCCTGGGCAATGGCCTCTGCAGCGGCGGCGGTGTTGCCTGAGCCGACAGACTGTGTTTGACCAGGGGAAGGCATCAGCAGGGTGATTAGTCACGTGGCGCAGCATTCATTAGCATCTCAACTTGACAAGCAGCATCAAATGGCAACAATCATGCGCAGCCGCATTGCAATTTGCAGTGCAAACGGAAACATTTGACCACCACGCAGCCCGCCACTAACGTGCCGCCGACAGAGAACCAATTGCGAAAAGGAGGATGCAGGGAACATTCTGTGCGCACTCAATCTCCCCACCTGGCTTCGCTCCCCCAAACCAAGCCGCACGCCCTCGAGGTGATATCCGGCAATCACTCAACACTCACCTGAGCGTAGGCCTGCGCGACGGCTTGAGCCGCAGAGGCACCGCCCTGGCTGACGGCCTGTGACAGCGCCTGCGCCAGGGCACCAGTCTTGCCAGAAGCCTGGGCTTGCGCCAGAGCCTGGCTCACGGCTGCAGCTGTGCCGTTCGGGTCTAGATGGGAGGAGAGGGAAAGATACTGTACAGTAGAGACTACGGTATGAAGTGTGTATAACTCGAGTGAACAAATCCACTCCTAGGCGAGGCTTGATGAAGCAGGGAGTGGCAGGTTTGCAGTTGCGTACACTAGGCAAGTCAGGGTGTCCTGGAGTCTTGCAGGACGGGGGATGAACGAACCGCCCTGGGATGCACTCACTTCTCTGTACAGCTTGGGCGATCGCTTGTGCAGAGGCGCTCGCCTTAGCGCCGCCCTGAGCGGTGGCTTGCGCGAGGGCCTGGGGGCGGCACAGGGCACCAAACATTTGAGTGCAGTAGGAGGGCCGGCCCTCCAGCCCTGAGGCTGGAATCACCTGCCAGGCGATGCACGTCCCTCAGTGCGTGACGTCACTTCAAATGCGGCAATTCTGAGACAACATCAGCCGCTTGCTGCAACTTCAGAGGCAACCAACGCACTTGTCCAATGGCTTGCGCATGACCTCCTGAAGCCGAAGCAATGGCAGAGGCCGCGGCCTGCGAGGCGCGTGTGTGGTTCAAGCAAGCTTGACTACGCCGCAGTGGTGGTCTGAGGGTGGGGACGGAGGCAGCATTCAAAGCAGCAACACGCCCTTTCCTCACTGTAGGGGCATTCCGACCTGTGCGTTGCCTGATCCGAGGCTCTGCGCCACGGCCTGGGCCGATGCCTGCGCGCTGGCTCCAGTGGTGACTGGGACGGAAGGGGACGGGGACGGCGAGGGGCTAGGTGACAGCTTGGGCGACGGCGACGGCGACGGCGACGGCGACGGCGACGGCGACGGCGACGGCGACGGCGACGGCGACGGCGGCGACGGAGATGGAGACTCCGAGGTTGTTGCGCCCCCGGGCAGCGGAGATGGGGAAGCAGGCACCGGGGACGGCGAGGTGGCGGCCTGCACGGCACGCGCATGGGCCACTCAGGTTCTCCATGTGGAAAGGTGCAACGACTCAATCGCGGGGCTCGAGGGGACTAAGCAGCAGCAGACATGAAGTCGGCACAGGTTGCATACTTGGAAGAAGCCACATCCGGGCTGCTGCGCTCCCACTACCCGCTCTACTGCCTAGTAGTGCTCAAACTCGGTATGATCCCAGGGAGGCCTGGAGCCCGCTCTCACGCAGTTGGCAGCTGAGGTCGCGCCAGCTTGCGACAGAGCCTGATCAGAGGCGCGACAGGGTGGGCACGGGGGTGCAGTAGTGTGGAGGTGGCTGCCGGCCAGGCTGGTTTTGGGGAGTCACACATGCTGGCCCACGAGTGACCTGCTTAGCAATACAATACCCGCCGGCCGCACAGGTACCTGAGCGACAGCGTTGCCGCGTCCCTGAGCGCTTGCAGATGCCTGGGCCTCTGTGGGGCAGGGCGAGGCGGCAAGCCTTGCTTGGGTGGCGGTTGTACATGATAATGAGGCGCAATCCTCACAAACAGCCAACGTGCGCGCCAGCCAGTTTGCTGGCGCAAAACAAGATCGGTGTGATGAGTGTTTGTTCACATCCACCCTTTGGAAAGCGGTCCAGGCTGGCGGTCCGGTGATGTCACCAGCAAAACCGCAAGAATACAGCCAGGGAGCTGAACATGGTGTGACCGACTGTTGCTCACGCGCCAGCACGTTGCTGACGGCGCCGCAGCCGCCTTTGCTTGCAGCTTGTGCCAAGGCGCTTGCGAACGCCGTGGACTCAGAGCCGCCGCTGGTGAGCGCCTGCGCCACTGCCTGCGCCGCTGCCTGCACGGCTCGCAATTTGCGCAGTGGTGGTGAATGATTGTGTGCGTGGTTGTATCGGCCGTCGGGGAGGCGCCAGCTCGTGTGGTGACGCAGCCTTGCAAGGGACTGAATAGGCATGAACTCGTGCACGCAACGGGTGGCTCTGCTCAAAGTGTGTTCCGATGCCGCTGCGGCAAAATCAAGATTTGCGGCCAGACGGCTGAGCCATCGGCGCAGCCGAGCAACCGGGGCCCACCTGTGCACCAGCGGGGTTGCTGTTGGCCTGAGTCAGAGCGCTGGCCAGCGCATTGGAGACGGACTGGGGCTGGCGACTGTAAGCCTCAGCAGCGGCCTGCGCCACAGCCTGGGCCGTGCCGCCGCCCGCAGCGAGCCCCTGGGATAGTGCCTGGGCCTGGGCGTTGGCGGAAGCGCCGCCGGCGGCGGCACCCTGGGCGATGGCCTCTGCAGCGGCAGCCGTGTTGCCCGCGCCGACAGACTGTAGGGGTGCGAGGTGGAGGGTGCAAAAGCAGGCGGCGTGCAAATTGCAGTATGTCAGGCGCTCACATACAGCAAGGTGCCGTACCTGTGGCGGAACGCATGGAGTGCGCAAGCTCCAGCAGCGACGTCAGGGGTGGCTGGACAGGCCCATTCTGGAGAATACTAGGTAACAAGCAAGGCAGACGCTCTGGTTACCAGCCCCCGCCTTGCGCCCCCGCCCGTCGCCCCCACCCCTCCCTATCGAACACAAGCGCAAGTGATCAACACACCTGAGCGTAGGCCTCGGCAACGGCTTGAGCCGCAGATCCGCCCCCCTGGCTGACAGCCTGTGACAGCGCCTGCGCAAGGGCACCAGTCTTGCCTGTGGACTGGGCCTGAGCCAGAGCCTGGCTCACAGCTTGTGCTGTGCCATTCTTGTCTGTGCGGGCGATGGTGTCAGGTGCGTCGATATGTGATAGGTTTTGACTCCAAACAAGCATTACACGCGCGTGGTTGGTTTTGAAGGGGCGAGTGTGGCCGGGGGTACCTGTTGGGGTGTCAGTACGAGGATAACGGCGACTGCAATGCACGTACGCGCCATGCTCCAGCCCAAAGAAGCAAGCTTGATCCAGCAGGCGGGCCCAGGAACACTTGCAAGACCACGCAGCATCGCCAGGCTTCGCGCCGGGTCACAGGCATGGATCGGGCAAAGGCTGCAACCCCTTCAGGCTGGGGACGCACTCTTGGCCGCGGCCTCAGCGATGGCCTGAGCAGTGGTCGTTGTGTTGCTGCCAGCGGCCGCAGACTGCGCCAGGGCCTGCAAGAGGGAGACGGGCGAGGCGAGACATGAATCACGCGACATGCCCTTGGGGACGAGGACCCGCACTTTGGTCGCTTGGTGCCACCAAGCGACCCTCGCTGCCAGTGGCGGGGCGCGAAGAGTGGCAGGATGTCCTGGTGGCTGGGGCCACCTGTGCTCGTGCAGCGTGGCTCCAATGATCTCTCTGACCTGTCCAGCGGCTTTGGCGTTTCCTGATGCAGCGGCTTCAGCTATCGCAGACGCCGCAGCCTGTGGCATTGTGGTGGTGGGGGGGGGCAGGCATCGATGAAGGTCAATCGATCGGGGGCGGCTCTGGCCACGGCACATGCCAGTGCCAGATCGTCGGTTGGGCCGATGCAGTGAGAGATGAAACACTGCCGCGGTGAGCGCTCCAGAAGTCAGAGGCACGCTTGTCGCAGCAAGGCCACAAGCGACTCACGCTGGCGTCACCCGAGCCAAGCGCCTTAGCAGCTGCCTGCGCCTGCGCCGCAGCCGTCGCGCCAGGTTTGCCGGATGCCTGGCGCAGGGCCCTGCCTTCGTTGACGACCACTGCAGGAAATATGAGGTTGCTTTAAAGGGCACCGACATGAACGAGGGCTCATGCAGTCTGACGGAACCTCGCCAGAACGAACCGCATCGGCCCACGCACCAAAGAGCGCCAGCACGAGCAGCAGAGCGAGCTTGAGAGGCTCCATGTGGACAATTCGAGATGTTGTAGTTGCAGCAAGGCGGCGTGAAGGCAATAACCACCAGGGCGGAGGCAGCAAGGGTGTAGGGCAGGCGACCTGAAGCCGAGGTGCACTGATCTGGATCCGGATGGGGTGCGCATGCACTCATATGTTGTGGAGAAATACTACCAAGCAAAGCACCTGATGCACCTGTGTGCTGCCACCTGCTGCGAGCTTAGGCAGCTTGGCAGCAGGAAGCTCACCGCAGCCGAGGATGACGACACGGCGGCCGCTGACAGTGCTGCACAACAACCGCCCCAACTGCCAGGTGACCTCCCGCCAGGCAGCTCATCCACCCCGTCAGGCCAGCAGGGTATCAGCTACCACATAAGATTGTTGCATTGTCGATGCACTTGCGCCACCTTAGGGTTGCCACAACGCTCGTCTGCCGTGTGGGGATCCAAAGACTAACAGGCGGTCTGTCCTCTGTATTGGGTAGCATTCCACGCCAAACTTTGGTCGACGCGTCTTACACAACACCAAAAACATCACATTGAGCAACATCTGCATCAAAGTGCTGGTGCATCACAAGCAGCTAGTTGCTGCAACATTGCAGCCTGCTCGCTGTCAGACCTCTGTTTTTATCCAACAGGGGTCTGCCAAAAGAGGTGTGCTGCAAAATCTGCTGCCCGGAAGTGTACATGCGTGACCACAGCAGGACTTGTTGCAGGTCCCGCATTGGTTGAGTGAATTCTCACAACACCGTAGTATTCAAGGGCACACGCAGCGCTGCTGGTTGAAGCGAGACTCCCACACCAGGGGGTCCTGTGTCACGCGCCTGAAGTTGCACACGCCGGCCACGCAGGCGCAGTCAGCCGAGCCGCCCTGGCTGCAGCAGTTGCCGATGCCGAACTGGCTTGCGCAGGAGGGATACAGCTGCGGCGAAAGGGGAAGACGTCGGCGCAGAAAGTGATGAGGGCATTCATGCTGGTTAAGCGGCATCCATAGTCATGTCATTACAACTAAATGAGCTGCAGATGCAGCGCCGGCGTGAACGAGCCAGCCGTCCTTCAGGAAGCAGCAATAGCTGCGCACTGGTAGCACCCGCTGTCCGTCCAGGGGGGCCTGTGACAAACCAGCTGTTCACGCATGGCTTTCTTGCTCTTGCATTTCATTGCTGCAAGAACTCACGCATCGAATGACGTTGCTGGCCCCGTTGGTGGATAGGGCCTGGGCAATAGCGTCGCGGCCACCCCCTTGGGCACTGGCGGCCGCCTCCAGGTCTGCATCAGGGGGATGGGTACGCGCACAGGAGTAGAAAGAGAGCCGGCCGCGGCGAGCAACCAGCCACAGGCTTTGGGGATGTGCTTGTTGGGCTCCAATCCGGGGAAACAGGGCCATGGTTTCTGCTGTGACGCCGAAAACACTGCTGGCATCACTGATGGCACCACGCCTCTTCATTCTCCTCTCAACCAGAGTCGCCGTGCCGCAACAGCACTAACATGCGTTGAGCGCGACACGCGCACGTGGTGTGGCCGCGGGCCAAGGCTGCTCACTGCGGAGGATGTTGTTGGCAGCGTTGCAGCCCCCGGCCTGAACGGCGGCCTGGAGGCCAGCCGCGAAAACCTTGGCCTGGTTGCCGCCCGCCAGCAGCGCCTTGGCAATGGCGCTGGACGCCGGGCCCACCTGGCGGGTGTGCGTGGGCACGCGTTTGACAAGGGACATTTTCAGTCGCATGAGAAATGCCGGCCGGCTAGGCGCTGGTGTGTGCTTTGCACATTGATGCTTCGTTGCTGCTCCGTTGGTTGTCAGCTCCGTCCAGCACAAATGAGCCCAAGTGTGGGGAGTTCAAGAATGCGCCTGGAATCTGAACCCCTTGATCACCTGCGTGGGCCCTGAACAGCTCAGGACATGCAGCGCTGTGTATTTTGCCAGGCATCATTTCTTAAGCGCAAAGAGCAAAAGTAAGATCCGGACAGCCCGCTTACCTGGGCGGGGTCGCTGTTGGCCTGTGTGATGGCCTTGGTCAGGGTGAGCACGACAGGCTCAGGCTGGCGCCCGTATGCCTCGGCGGTCGCCTGCGCCACGGCCTGCGCCGTGCCTCCGCCGCTCGCAAAGGCGGACGAAAGGGCCTGCAAGGCGTATGAGTTGAGGGGGAATCGACAGGCGACATCTAGACAAGAACCAAAAGCAGGTGCGCACCTGGTCACACTTCACCCTCAGTTACTGCGAGCAAGACGACAACGTACGCCTTGGCGTCCATGCGAACTCACCTTGGCCTGAGCATCAGATTCAGCCCCGCCTGCGGCCGCGCCTTGGGCGATGGCTTCAGCGGCGGCAGCGCTGTTGCCCTGGCCGACGGTCTGTCGGTGGGAGGGCGGTGGTGCGGCAGCAATCAGCGACCGAGCCATGACTCAGTACCGGCAGCATCCCACACAAGCCGTAGCCTGAGGGCGGAACTGGCTTGAAAGGACGTGTGTGTTTGCGAGGTCGGGCTGCTGGCCAACAAGCAAGCGGTATCATGAGCAGCCAGTAGCCAGGAGTGCCGTTCATGCGACCAAAGCATCCAAATGTACGCAGACTCAAATGTTCCTGGCGCCGCCACAGTGGCTGCCCAGAACATGTCCCCGAGCATGCAGGACATCACCTGTGCGTACGCTTGGGCGACAGCCTGCGCGGCGGCACCGCCACCCTCGTTGACGGCCTGGGACAGCGCCTGCGCGACTGCTTTTGAGTTGCCGGTTGCCTGGGACTGGGCTAGTGCTTGGCTCACGGCAGCGGCTGTTGAGTCGGGCGCTGGAGTAAGGAAACGAGTGGACAGCAAGGTGGGAGGGGTGGGGTAGGGGCGGGAGGGGTGATGTAGGCGCGTGACGAGGAGACTAGGGCTTCGCATCACAGGGGGGTTTAGCGGATCTTGGCTTTGCACGCGTGCGGCTGAGGCTGCAAGTATACAGAGTGTCTATCGTTGCACGGCTTGCGGAGGTGCTGCAAAGCAGCCCTCGGCAAACCTTGCTGGGCTGCCTGCGCCACGGCCTTTGCTGCAGCGGCAGACTGGCCGCCCCCTTGCGCAGCGGTTTGCGCCAGAGCCTGGCGCAAGAAGGGGCGAGAGCAATGTGGGACGCGTTGTGTGAGGGCGCCACCAGCAGGCTCCTCTGTCAGAGGGGGTGGCGCGCAGCTGCTAGCAGCTACTCATGATGACAGCCGTCAGTTGGCCAGGGGAGCACTGAGTCATGCAGTTGGCAAGGACATCACAGGCTCCAACATCAATCCATATATAATGTGCTAGGCTTACCTGTCCAGCAGCCTGCGAGCCGCCCGTGCCGGCGCTGGCGATGGCTTTGGCAGCGGCCTGGGTGTGGGTGGGTGCCAACGCAGCATGATCAGTTGTGCTGTGTCAAGAGCGGTGGTGAGCCGCAGACCTCGGCCCGCATGAAAATAATTTTAGAGATACACGTTGATGTTTGGGCTAAGTTTACCTGCGCGTTGCCAGTGGCAAGGCTCTGCGCGACTGCGTTGGCTTGGCCGCCACCGGCCTGCGACAGGGCGCCCGCCTGCGCCCCACCGTCGACTTGCAGGGGCATCCGCGAGGCCATGCAGGTGGCTGCAGACATTTGAATGCAGGTATCAGCAGTTTAGAGTCCCATCCGAGGGCAGATGCTGAAAGTCTGACGGAATCACCATCTCGGAAATCGTTCGCAACCGCGGCTTACCCAGGATTGCGAGGCCCAACACCAGCGGAAGCTTGTGGCAGGCCATGGCCTGTAAATTTACGTTCTTTGACAGGCTGGTGGGGCAATCAAGGGCGATCAGCTTCGAGCTGATGTGGACCCCTGTCAATGATGAGTTGAGGCTTGTGCAAGTTGGCACGCAAAGTGGCAAGGACAGCTAGAGTCAATCATGACACAACGTCCGGCTGTGGCCTACATAGACGACTGAAGTGTTGCGTGCAAGTTTCACTGCGGCGATGTTTCAGCTGCCACGACACATTCGACCCGCACAGCGCCAATCACTGCCATCAGCAATCACGGCGAGACAGACGACCCTTCGCACCGCCACAGGTGATGTGCACACACACTCGCTATCAATATCTCAGCGTGCTGGCCTGCACGTTGCAGCCAGCGGCATCTCTTGCTGCGGCAGAGCCGCCTGCTGCAGCAGCGTGCGTGGCTGCTCGTGCGCCTACTGCTGCCACCTGGCCTTGTAGCACTCTTTCCAACACAACACCTGAGAGGCAGCCATGGCACGGCTGCAGCTTTATGCCTGGCGCCCCGGTAGCCTTGCCCCCCCCCCCCAGCAGTACGGCCAGCTGTACTGCTCTCTTGCGGCCGGCGCCGCCGCCAGCGCCGGCGGCGGAGGCGCTGGCTTACGTGCATGCCTTGAAGCAGCATGTCTGCCTCATCAGCAGGCATGAGGCTCCTGGTCCCGCAGCTCCGCCATTATTGCTGCTGCTCCTGCTGCTGCTGCTGCTGATCTGCTGGTATACTTGTTGCTGGTGCTGCTGCCACTGCTGTTCCTGCTGATTGTGCTGCTGGCCTCCTGCTTGTTGCAGGCGGTTGGAGGGACCTCCTGCGCTGATATCCTGTGTGCGCACGCTCAACCGAGGTGCGACGCGGACAATCGCCGTCAAATCGCGCTGCGGATGCGTCATCCACTTCTATTAACACACTTGTGGTCACGCCCTGGTTCTTCATGCACACCTGTTGCCTGCAAGGGCGGACGTGGCTTTGCCCTTTGCAATGCCCAGGGAGCGGAGCAGCAACGCTCGCGCCATCGCCGCCACCGACCTGGCAGTCCGCTGGGCTCGGGCTCTCAAGCGCCGCAAGCAGCTGCGGTCAGCAGGCACCCGGGCAGAAAAAGCTCTGAGCGGCACCTGTCCGCCTCATCGTCTCGGGTATGTGCCTCCGCTGGGCGTGTCAATGCAGCATGCTGTGTGCGGATCATCCCACGCTCCTACTGTCGCCAGCAAGGTCGGCCATCTAGGTTTCAGAGGGACATCGATGAACATGATCAGAACAAACAGACATTGAAAGCACGCAGCTGTACATCTGATACAGTGAAATTTTGGGAGTTTGTTGATCACGCAACAATTTTGCACTGGTGAGTTTGATTGTACGATGACATTATGATACGCATTATCGCACGTCGATGCACCAAACTTCACGGTAGATTGTGGTTCTTTGCAATCGGCAGCAGGAACCGTTTGCAGTCACCGATCTGGGTGACGTCTGTGAGATCAAGTTGCCTTTCTCTCAATGACCTCATGATTTTGACCAGTTCAACGCGATTATGTCGCCACCTCGTACATGTGGCAGCGTCCCAGTATTGTGCCAGCCAGTGGGCGGCAGGCGACCGCGGCGACGGTGCCAAAACGAGCATGGGGCTCCTGCAGGGGCCTGGCTTCATACAAGCCTTTAGCAGCGGCAGCAGCAGTAGCAGCAGCAGTAGCGGCAATGGTCCTGTTGGCAGTGGCTTGATAGGCGCCCCCAAAGCAGGCACCGAAGGCGCGCGAGAAGCACCCCCCAGCACGTCTGGCAAGGAGCAGGAGACGCCCCTGCTGCACTCGATCCGCAACCGCATACTGGTGCGCCACTCCCTTAGAGACCACTACCAGTGCAGCAGGACACGCCCCACGCATACTGTCTATTGTAGCGCCGGCGCTCCGAGGGTCTGCCGGCCCATCTGGCCCCTAACCAGACTCAGCAACCGCCGATCAAAGCCAGCCGCGTTTCTCCCCGGATGAGACGCTCCAAAACCCCAACCTCCCCGCGTGGCGTCGTTCAGATTCGCGGCGGCCCCCTGAGTGTGGCGGAGTACATGCAGGAGACCCTGACCAACCCTGTGTCTGGCTTCTACATGCACCGCGACGTTTTCGGGGGCAACGGGGACTTTGTGACGTCACCTGAAATCTCGCAGATGTTTGGGGAGGTGGGTGGAGCGCTTCATATATTGCGACGCGATGAAGGTTGATATGGGGGGAATGAGCATTGGTGATTGCGGCCGTGTTTGCAGCAGGTGGCTGCCTTGACGTGCGGGGCACAGGTCTCCAGGATCCGGCCCCAGGCCAGGAGCAGGGGCAGCAGCAGCAGCAGCCAGTGGCCTCGCCCGTGAAGGCGCTGACGCCCCGCCTCGCGCTGGGGAGTCATTAGACGCGTGACACCCACAACATCGACTGATTGATATCCCCAGACCTGCCGCCTGCCGGTTGGGACCCACCCGCATGGTATGCCGCCACCCGGCCCATGTGCAACCACACATGCCTCTTGCCACCACACTCAAACCCCAAGCTAGCACCCACCCCTCGGCCAACCCGCCACACAGCTTGCAACCTGCCCCCCCCCCCCC